TACCCCCGCCCCTTCCTTTGGCCGTCGACCTGCCTCCATGTAGTGGGAGGCTACCCCCCCAGGCTGGTGGTGCGGCCGTTCCACTAGTCTAATTATTTATTTTATTTTATTTTATTTGTTTCTGATTATATTTTGTTTTCTTGTATTTTATCGCTCTGCTGACCCTTGGGGTCCATTTTATTTTGGTATACCTTTTCTAGGTACGTTAGCCTGTGACCACGGAAATTGGCCGAGTCAAGTGATGGATTAGTACGGAGAGATTGAGACAGAAGGAGGTACTGGATAGAGAGACCGGGATGGTTTTTAATGTGAAGACAACAACAACAACAGTAATACGAGCTTGAAGTTATTCTTTTTCGGGCTGGACAAAAACGTAACAAATTCTTCTCCAACACAGGTATGTAGAGATACGAGCCCAGGATACGATGTCACATTACACACATTACTCAATTTGGGATTTTGTTTGAGGGTGTACGGGGATTCGCGAGTGCTATGTGTGTACCAGCTACAGGGTGCCACAAAGCTCTCCATCTTAGATCATCTCACCCGACAGGATGGAAGAGGGGGTGCAGGGCGTCCGAACCAGCGAGCCCCCTGCAGAAATATGCATGGCTTTGTTTGGCCCTGCATCGCCTTCGTGTGACGAGCTAGCTAGCCTTAGCACAGGCGACCAGTGGCCACAGCATGCCAAGGCGAATAGTGACCAGGCTGGTGTCATTCCTTTCGTAACCAAGGCAAGCAGCTATTCTATCTGTAGATGCTCGGAATCGGGGCACGGCAACCGCCGCGAGCTATACCCGCCGCACGACACTGCTGCTGTAGAGCGGCAAGACGAGCTTCGACACGGCGCGCGTGGAGAAGAGAGAGCGATATTCCGACAGCAGTTGCTGCTTAGGTAAGTGATTCCCTTCCAGTTATAACTGGATGGTAGCGAAAGAAGGATGAATTGAAGGAACATTGTGTGTTGAATAGTTGTGTACCCCTATCTATGCCTATGTCCCCGTTGGGAAAGGCTCGAACTCCCTCGTGCTGTAGATGCATGTACGCTCAGACACCAGCAGTTGGTCCTGCACACCCAACAGCTCTCGGCCTACTGCGCGCTCTTCCTCACCATGTTCAGAGCGGGCATTCTTCCTAGGCCCTGATCTGTTATGCATGCTTATGTTTGTCCATAACTGGGCTTTTCGTGCATGAGCAAAAGCATAAGTTGGAGCGCGCATACATCCATTTTTTTACCCATAAAAGTGTGCATAACAGGGGGTTGTCGTGCATAGCGGTGATTATGCACGAGTGAGATGGGGGTAAGGGATGGCTCAGACGCTCAGACAGCTCATTGTAACCAAAACAGAGCTTTTTAACCCCTTCACAGCCTCTTGATCTTTTAACTCTTTAGTTTCAAGTTCAGAGATCAGACCACAAATCGTAGATCTGGAGATTGATTGGAGATTCGGTGTTAATTGAAAACATTCGTTGTTTAAACCAACCTTGATGACTGTTGATTCAAACTACTTGACTTGTGTACAAGAAGAGAGGAGAGAAAAGACGCAAAGACCGAAGAAGATCAAGACCACAGGGACACAGGACACACCGCACATCACTGATTCAGCCATCCTCTGCCTTCATGGAGCGAGCATTTTCTATTGTGCGTGCGTGTATGGACCAGAGGCAGGAGTCGAGCTTCAGCGATCGCATTGCCGCAGCTGCCCTTCTCAATCAAGTGAAGAGTAGTAGTAGTCGGATGCGTGGAAGAAACATTTCCTGAAAGACTAGAGTCCAAGATAATTTGCGCTGTGTGATACAGCAACACAATCAATTATTCATATCCATTTCGACAGTGGGAGACGGCACAATAGACAAAGCTTGTCGACGAAGCCAACGGCGCGCGCATATGTCGAGCATTAACGACCAAAACAAGCATTGCCCGAGCANGAAGAGTAGTAGTAGTCGGATGCGTGGAAGAAACATTTCCTGAAAGACTAGAGTCCAAGATAATTTGCGCTGTGTGATACAGCAACACAATCAATTATTCATATCCATTTCGACAGTGGGAGACGGCACAATAGACAAAGCTTGTCGACGAAGCCAACGGCGCGCGCATATGTCGAGCATTAACGACCAAAACAAGCATTGCCCGAGCACGAGGGACAAAGAAAAGCGTGCAGAAGTACGAGCACACGCGAGGAAAATGAGCATAACCAGCGTGCATAAGTCGCCTTTTGACCTTACGCACGTGCCGAAAAACGTGCATAAAAATGTCCAGAAATAAGCATAACAGGTCAGGGCCTAATTCTCCCGGAGGCGTCAACAAGCGCCCAGCCTCACAACAGAGCTCTTTGGAGGGCGGGTAGGCACTTCGTTATTTTCAACTTTTTTTTTGTTTTTTGGCGGGGGGGCTCGTTATTCCTTCAACAGTAACAACGTTCGGTAACAACCCCGCATGTCTGCTCTATCTGACCTGTCCACACACATGCATAGCATCGACCGCGTCGACCGTCCATATGCTTCAACCAACGCCCAGCCCTCACCACACCCAATTGTTTTCGATGGGTTGCTCGGTTCACAGGTCGTTCACACGTATGCAATATTGTTGTTGTTGTTGTTTCTCACATTAGCTCTAAAAAAGAAAGATTGGGAGCCCGTGGTCTCAAAACCCGGCATACACGACCCCACGAAGAAACAGAAAAAAATAGGGTACAAAAACCACTCGGAAGAGAAACAAAATGATAGAAAAAAAGAC